CGTCGACTACGAGGGACAATGTCACATCACGACTTTGTCCACAAGCTTCTCGGGCACAAGTGCCTCGAGATTTTTACAAATTTTGCGCAGGAAACCTGCTGCTTCGGGGGCCCACCTACGGATCCGTCTCCAGCTCTCAGCGTGTCGGTAAAAGGATCACATTTGAGTAGTGTGAATTGTTCTATGTATTTGCGATATTCAGGTTGTCGTTAGGACACTGGCAGGGGTCTGATTTAGCTCATTAGCGAGGCGCTTGGAGTAGAGGAAGGAAGGGGAGATGGAGAAGGAAAAGGAGAGACAACGTTTTATGTATATCGAGATACCAGTTAATTGACATTATTCACCGACTTCGTGACGGACAGCTGACTTCGTGACGGCACCCAATTTGTATTACTTCGTGTTTTACCAACACAGCGGAGATGGTGGTAACTAGTCATAGCATGATGTATGGCAGGTAGGAAAACGAGACGAGAAGTGTCGTTTTTCTAATCACAACCTGGATTACTGGGCTTGGAACTTCAGCTATGGGAGTTTACGGGAGTTTCTATTTTTCTTTTTTTAACTAGCTACTGGTTGTGTAGTGGTCCACGCGGTGAAACCGAGGTGGGCATGCGGAAAGCATGATCTCGGCCGTGTATACCGATCTTTGACTCCTAGGAGATATAGAGCATAGCTTAGGACCCAAAAACAATTCAATTCAATTCAATGTAGAATCACAAATGAATAAAAAACGCAGAATTCGAGAATTTCGAAATTTCTAAATTACATTTTTTCCCTCTTTCCTCCCTTCTCGACCTCGTCGCATCCATCTCTGAATTGTGATCGAGCTCAGGCATTTTCACCATGCCTCCAGTTCGCAAAAAGCGTCCCAACGCCAAGTTGGACAACAGGAGAGTCCACCCGAGGGCTCTCGAACAGTTACCTGGCCTTGCCCAATCTCCGAAATGCGCGGAGATGAGCAAGGTCTCTACTAAATGGAAGGAAAAAGCCCTCCCCGCCGTCACTAAGCCCGATACTGACATGTGTTGAAGCTTTGTCGTGGAGTGATAGATATGAGAGTGAGGTTTATGGGTCACAATGTATGAGATAACTGAGGTGCGGATGTATGAGTTCCTTACTATATTGTTTTACTAATTAGGGTTGTATTGTCTACATACAAAAAGGATTTCTCCATCTACAAGTGGGCCAGATCGCTTAGATCTGGCTAGCGGCTTTCGCCATCCTCTTCCTTCTCCCCCACATGGCATCACGTACTATACAACTACTGCTCACCATGAAGTCCGAGGATGAAAAGCGTTAGATAACAACAACATGATCGGGTCAGTCGAAATTGTTGAGGAATTTCCTCAACCACTCTCCGTCCCCCACGGGATTGGAGAATCGTCAAAATCTCAACCGAACGCGCCAAAACTGTTGGAAAACGCTGCGCCCATAGCAGCGTCAAAATCAACGTCGCAGCCAAAAGCTACCACAAAAGCAGAATGCCCGCCCGAACTACGACCAATTGTCGAAGCCGAGCAACGACCTGCCGCCGAAACAGCGGCAAACCTGGCCCTCTGCTCCGCCGCCATCTCTGGCGTCGAAGCCACCCTTCTTCCTTTGACCAACGGGTCAAACAGACAATTCGTAGACTCCATGAGAGTCTACCTACGCGCCGCCATCGCGCAATACATGGCCACGGGCCCGGTCATCACGCCACCCATCCTCTCTCCTCGGCCGACGAACCCTCTTTCAAGGGCTCTCGACGCCAGGAGCACAACGATTCCTGCCGTCCCAGTTCTGCCTGTTAAAAGCACCTGGGCCACAGTGGCCAGAAACGGACTGCGACAGAAAGCAGTCCCAACTGTAAAGGCTGTGCCGCAACCTGCGGCAAAGGCCCCGAATAAAGATGCTCCGAAGGCGAAAGTCGACAAACGACTGTTCCTTCGCATAGATAAGGAGCACCCGTGGCGCAAGCTTTCACCAAGCGCCATAACGAAACAAATATGGAATGGTCCGTAGTGCCTCTTCGGGGACAATAGTTTCGTACACCGTGTCAGAACCGGCTTTGCGATTCTAACAGGTGATGAAAATACAAGGGAAAGGCTCTTAGATGCTGCATCGAAATTTCGGACTTCAATGCCAAGCTAGAAGAAGCCTCCAACCTTGTTGCATTTCGGATCGCGAATATACCCGCGACCATACAATCAGACGACGGTATTCGTACGGTCGATACGGATAAGATCTCAACTGAGATCTACCGTAAAACTCGACAGCTTCACATCCAGGTGCGACCGCATGGGACAAGCCGTCCTGGGGCGCCGTGCAGAAACTAGCATGCCCTTTTCGACCGGGACTCAGCCCCTCACGCGGGCTTCCGCCTCGTCGACATATCGAACAGTGTAAACGCTGTTTGGGCTTCTACGCCACCCGTGGTTCATCCCGCGCTCCAGCCTGCTGGAACTGCGGATCAAATATGCACTCGGAAGCCGAGTGCAAGGCCCTCACAAAGTGTCGTAACTGTGGGGGACCTCACTGGTCGGATTCTCGGGCCTGCCAAGTCAGACCTAAAAGATCCGGACCGGTGACAAAAGAGTAGCTCGCATGGATCCGCCACATCGAACAAGGAGAGTTCGCGAAGGTGGCATGAGCTTGAGCAGCAGCCAAAAGGGCCGAGGAGGCGATCATCGCCGCAGCGAAGGATGTCTCTATGGCCGAGGCAACAGGTTTCGGAGCTCTGGGATCTGAAGAAATAGTTTGAGGACACAGCAACCTCGAAAATGTCCCTTTTGGGGCATCTACTAACCAATAGCAGGATACCGGCTGGATCAAAGGTGCCTGCTAACTCATCTCTTGCTCTCAGCGGAGATTGAATAAATTTTGTCATTTGGAGGGTGTGACGGACGAGGGAATGTGTGAGGAGCGCATTTACTGGGTCCATTGTGGAGGAATTTTCTGTTCTTTCGGAGTTGTTTCGATTTTCTTGATTTTTCGTTTCAGTTTAATCAGCTGCACTTTAGGTAGCAATTCACGAGGTTGGAACGAGTTAGGCTGTAGGAAACATTACAGGGAGCCCTGCCGGATCCGCCGGTCCTTGACCCAATGTTGAAAATATAGCTTAAGCTTAGGACCAAAAGTAAATAAAAAAAATGTAGAATCACAACAATTTAATCACAATTATCTATCCATTAAATATCAGTAAACTTCTTTATATAGTAAACACATTTATCGTATCTCTAAATCAAACTCGAGGCTGGTATGTAATTATTACAATCTGCGGAACTAATTTCAATTTAGATATGCCCTCACATTTCCTATTCCAGTCCTTACCTAGAAGATAGTTACTGTTCAACACCCTATGACTAAAGCAGAGATTCCTACGGTGTGGACGAGTTAGGCTGAAGTAAATTAATCCCCGCCGGCTCCACCGGTCGTGTACCATAGCGAACTTGAGCTTTAACCAAGGACTTTGATAAAACTACTCAAGTTCAATAAGCTGTGGTCCTCATCCATGTACTCTACTACACAGCCATGCTAGCTCGACGGAGGGCAAGACTGAACACCTGTACGCGGTGTCCTCTACGAGCCTGGGAGTGAAACGTTTTCCCAGAGCCAAGTTCAGTCAAATTTCGCAATATCAAAGAAGTTGGCCCACGAGGCAATGATTCGAAATACTCCGCCACGTCATTTTTTCGCTCCCAACGAGTTCGACTCCTACCTAAGTCTCATCAAATCTACAAGTACGACCAAGTACATCCTCATCCCTATGACCACACCTCTCCTCGACCTTCTCTAGCCTCGGTTGACCGCCTAATACACGCCCACGCCGATATTTATACCCGACGGAGGAAGCAAAGCGTGGCGCACAAATCTGGGAGATGGTTCTTCTGGATGGACGTGAGAGGGATCAGGACAGGTTTACAAGATGATGCGAAGGAAGGATATAACCTCGAAGGGCATGACATTCTGAATGTTGGCAAGGAATTGTACGAATTGAGCTTTGTGCGCGCCAAGACTTCGCTAGCGAGAGTGCAGCTCACTAAAAAAACAAGCAGACGATGGAAGGTGTAGTGATCCGCCTCCTGGTGGTGTTCTCCGGTATAGTTTGAGTAGCCTGGGAACCTACTCCACTTGGGAAGGAGACATCTCAGATCATATTTCGCGCGGAGAAAATTTGATGGATGACGGAGGCATGTCTGGATAACTCGGGGTTTTTGAGACGTTCTCATGCGTGGGTATTCACGGATGAGGGTTGACTTGGGGTGAAGAAAAAGCCACCATCACGTCGCAGTGGTACTTGCAAGTGAAATCTGAGGCATGACTGCTCTTTCCTTACGTTGAATCATTTATTCTGTACTTTTCTTTGATATTGTGTTATATCTGGATAGCTGCATACGCAATTAAAATCTGATGCAAAAATAAAATGCTAGTTTGACAAACTAGACTAATAATGGACATACACAAGTCTTCATCACAATAAGCCTTAGGTCTACCATGAATGTGAATAGTTTACATCGTTTTAGAAAATGAATCAAAATTATATATTAATGTTACTTCTTTTGTTGCGATAAGATTAAAGCTACTTCCACTGACACCTTCGCTTTAGATCGCTAGAAGCAGCTTACATGAAAATTATCTTAACGCCCTTTTTCCACCAAAATATAGTGTCTTCACTCCGTGTAAACTGATTTTCAGATGATAGTTATATTAATCACGAATATTATTCGCCCATGATTTCTACGCCCTCGAGCTAATAAGACGAAAATGCTAACCTAAATAGAGCCCCAACGCACCCTTGACCTTGACGCCATTGCTGTGGGAATAAAACAAATTTGTCACTCAATGTATATCGGTGGTCTAAAAAAAAGTATTTTGTACCACTTTGTGATTGTGCTGTTGATCCAATGATGAGGTTAAGTTAAATGAAACTTGATCGTTGATTGAGCTGTAGCCGAGAATCGGCCAGCCTGATACACTTGTGCGAGAGCAGAATAATTTTTGTTTTCTGTAGACCTAACAGCTCAACAAATACTGCTGTACCTATCTCTATCTCTCTCACTGCTAGTATTTCTTAGAACATAAGTAGGATTCTGTACGTTTATCTTGACTTTTTGATCAGGGAAACTCTGCTGCACAATCCATTCGAGCACTGCTTCGTAACAAAGCACGTATTGTCGAAGACTCTGAACCATGCTTAGCCTCTGGCCACGAAAATCTTCTACAGTCTTTTCGATTAAGTCAAGGTCTCCCTTCCATTGATAAGAACCTCCGAGGGTTGGAAATTTGTCTTTCTGGTCGGCATCAAGTCGGTGGCTATTGTTCATGGAAGATCCACCTAAGGATCCATCCTCAAAGCATTCCTTTCGTTCGCGCTTGAGCATATCGATTACGGTATCAATAGTACAGAAGGCACCAGTTCGGCCACACCCAGCCGAGCAGTGGACTAACATTGGACTATCCAGATCGCCCTCCGCCTCATCCAATTTGGTGTTCTGATGCGTATAAGTTGCTGATCGTTTTATATCATTGCTAAGTTCTACAATTTTCAGTAGCTGACTTGGGCTAGCTGGTGCGCCAAGATCAGGCCATAAACTGTAGTGTATTTGTGTTATCTCTCGCTCAGGGGATAGCGGCTCTAATGAATTAGAAAGACTGAATTTGCGAACATTTACGTGTGGAATATCGGTATTCGCAGGACTACCGCCTCGACTCAGGCTGGTCATTTCAATTACTGTGTTGGCACGGCGCCGACGCGAATCATGATTGTGAGTCGCTTCAATGGGAACGTCTTTTTCTGACAGAAGCTTTAACTTTAGATGGCCGTAATTATTTGAGGTCCAGTAAGAGTGACATTTTAATTGACCTCCCTCGAATTCAGCTGTCAGCATAACAATCACACGAACATTCTGATCCCAAATAACACTCCAAAAATCCTATTTGCGTTAAAAAATGAAGATACAGGCTAGTATTAATTTATCTTACCTCGAAGGTTGCTGGAAGGGGGCCTTGAGATGCAATATAGCGTTTATTGCTCCTTGATGCTTTGATATGACTTGCATTTACGTAGTCACAAGCGTCAGGTGATGATTTCATCAGTTTAACCCGACTATGTTCGTATGGCCAAATATTATTATAACGATTCTTGCCCCCCTTTTCGATACCAGCTATCCTAATAGACTGAGATTGATTTTGGGGGGAGTTGTAAGAGACTCCGGAGGATAAAGCCTTCGTCATGACGGCAAGCTCTTCCTGCTCTAGTCGCATGTACTTGTCGGATACTTGTTTTCCATGATCTTCTGCATTAGCAGCACCGAGAAGCCATTCGGGGAGAGACTTTAGCATCTCTGGCGTGAGGTATTCAGGCATCTTGACTTCAATCTGACCTACTCCATCAATCAGGTCCTGATTTTGACGTATATTGTTGAAAAATGGTATCATGGCACTTTTTTGGGCAGGCATAATGCATCCACCAGATACTGATAGACTGTTTGAAGGATTAGTTCCAAGAGAAATATTTATTTTTGATGTTTGTATTTCTTTGCATGATCGATGGTCAACTAGCGATGGGTATGTTTGGGAAAATGCTTGGAAGCCGCCTTTTATTATGTAGAGATTGCCTTTCCAACCCTCAGCAGCAAATTTCTTGAAAGTGTTGATGGCAGATATCGCATCTTTTTTTTCTCGAGAATTTACGTCATATGCGATGATTGTTTTGGCCTGCTTCCAGTTCGAAAAGCGAGTTTTCTCTGCTTCATTGGTAAAAGTATCCTCAAGCTTCTGAAGGTTAAATGAAGGTCTTTTGAGCAGCGTAGTTGGTATACACAAGTTCAATGCTCCTTTGATTCGTGATTGAGAAAATAGGGGAAAGACACGCAGATCTAATAGTAAAAAGCTTGATTCAGAATGACTTTCGATTATTTCGCTAGCGTTCAAAACGTCAATCATGGTGGATAACTCGTCTTGACAGCGCAAGGCTGCTTCATGTTTTATCTTAGAGAATTGTTGCGTTCCATCGGGTCGAGTGACAGATTTTACGCCGGAGTGAGTAAGACCGAAGTATCTTTCGTGTTTTAAAGATGTCATATTTGTGAGATTTGATGAATTCGCTGTTTTGAGGTACGAAGAATTCTTGGCCTTGATAATATCCGGGCTATGTAGGTCTCTCGCAATCTCCACAGGGACATTCGACATTGGAAAGCTACTGGACGAATGCCTTTCATTCCTCGTTTCCATTTCCAGTCGATCCGACATAGTAGCTCCCTCACGCATTCGTGGACGTGACTTGGGTGACGGCATTTCGGTGATATCATATTTGGTAGGTCTTTTTTCTAATTTGGAGCGGGTTTGGATTGAAGGTGAGATCGAAGTGGCGAAGAATGATAAGTTCCCGTGACTTAAGTTGAAGGCATGAGTTTCCTCGCTTTGTTTTCGAAACGCTTCAAATTCGGGATTCGACTCAATAGGTTGGAATTTTGGGGAGACTGCCACGAACGATTGTATTGAGTTTTGAGGACTCCATTTCTCGCTAAACCGTATACCAGATTCGCAAAATTCGGTCGGAGGCTCCACAATTAAGCCAAAATAATTTGGGCTCGGGGATCGCGGTTCTGGTGGGGTCGGTGAACAGATATGATACGTGGGAGGAACTGTCCGTCCTTCTGGCGCGGTTACTCGCGCAGAATTGGGGGAGATGCTGATGATATTTCTATGTGGTATTGAGTGAGAACGCGATATAGAGGGATGCGGACTTGGCCTCGTGGCGGCCTGGACAGTCATTCTTTTACCAAAATTTTTCAGTATGGGTTACTTGATGGAATGGTTCTAGATAGACAGAACTTTCATTTTGGGAAAATATAAAAGTGAAAATTAAGGGGTTTCCGTTTTTGAAGTTGCAGAATGGCGGTAAAATTTAGGAATAAGGGTATGGTATCGTATTCTGTGATGATGTGAAAATGAGGTAAATAATGAGGCAGATGTTGATGAGGGAATGTACGGGGTCGCGGGAGATAGAGCGATATGAAAAGAAGGATCAAGGTATCATGACGCTAATAGGTAGGGATGCAGGATGTAATGGGGAGGAAGGAAGCGAAGGGAATTAGTTGTGGTCAAAACGAACGAATCGGCGGCTTGCGTAGGGAAGGGGTGGAAGTTTGAAAGAAACTGGGGCTATCTGGGCAGATCTGTAATTGCTATCAGGTGTCCTTTACTCCAACGGACCATAATGACATCATGACCTTAGCGTTCAGGACGCTATGGCAATATCACCTTCCACACTGATGGCCCCACCCAACGAACATGCTTCAAGGGAGAAACCGATTGTTCCCGATTTCGTCTCTGCGTGGTTCCGTAATCACCACCAAACTTTACAGGATCATCTCCTAGGGTTCCTGAATGACCAACTGCCGTTTAGCAAAGTCATTCAAGAGTGATTATTGAGCGAGTGAGATGATGAATCACAAGAAGATCGTCTGTGTAGGACGGGTTCACTAAAATCTTGATTACGAGTGATAACTGTTAATAATTCTTAGGCAACTACAACAACACTTTCCATGGTTGGTTGGGCAAAGCTCTAAGGGTCCAAACATTACCGTTCCGGCAACGGCAACGGCATGTCGCAAGCGTGCCAGCCTGCAGTTCCGGATCTTCATGAGACAGCACCTCCCCTGCAGACCGTAATGATGAATGGAGATCAACTTGATGCCTCAGGTCAGGGATGAGCTAGAAGCACTCTCCCTGCCATCGAAGTCCAAAAAACGGTTTCGGTAAGACGTCTACTAAACTCCCAGCTGGAGGAGGTTACATTGATGTGGCGTGTAACATCCAGGGATTGTCCATGTATTCACAACATGACGGCGCTAAAATTTCGTTGCCGACAGACGGGTAGAGTAAATGAGTGCGGCTTTGAACCACCAATACGCCATGCACCTCTTAAAAAACCGTAGGGCAAGCTTGGAAATTAATGGTTAGATCAGAACAAGAATTGGTGTGCTAATGAATGAAATAATTCCAAATTCAGCGACCTCCAATGATCCTAATAACATTCATGCCTAGCTACAAATACTTGCTGCCAACGGAATTGGTCAAGCAACAAATTTTTATCCCGAGCCGTTTATTAACTACATTCCACATCTAAACCAGCCTGTTAATACAAGAGATCTATGATTTGTAACTAAAGGTCTACCGACTTTTAGACTAGAGGAATTTCACTCGCTGACATATGACCACAGCGCCTTGACGGCCTAGACTGAGCACTGGCTATATTCTGTCAGCGTTGATGGAGCTTTAAAAAGTGGGTCTGTTTAGAGTTTTAGACGAATGATCTAGACTGGGCCAGATGGTATACTACAGTGCCATCTGGGTTAGTCTCATCAATGAATTATGGATAGGCTGGTCACTTTGCCCACTCGAAACGGAAGATCATTGGTTTGTATGTAGTCAAGCCCTGACCGCTTTTAGGCCGCTCTTTGATAGCAAAGAGCACTCAGTCAGTTTTGTGGTCCAAAGTTTTTGAGCTGCACGGAGAGGCCTTCAAAATATTATGATAGCTAGGATCGCATGGGCGAGGGTCGAGAGTCCTTGCGCAACTTAACGTGAAACATTTCAGCAGTTAGAGTCTACGGTGTATCGTCAGGATGTTTGTAACGGGCGCTGTCTGAGGACAACAGCAAACTCGTTCGGCGGATAAAGATGATCAAGATCATCGTTCAACATGTTGTTCATTTTGGGCTGCAGAGATCAATACTACACATTGGTGAGTGAAAAAAGGCTTATTGTGGTAGTATCTAGATCCTGACAGTGACATGACAATAAGTTTACTTGTTTTCTGATAAAAAATTTTCGACCTAGGACCTGAAATAGTCTCTAATGATTTCACAGTAATCAATGAGGTCTTATCTCTATGACAAAGTGGTATTGATTCAATTTGACTACTCCCATTCATGCGGCGAGATTGCTGTAAGACTTCTTTCCGGATAAGTTTCGCTCTACAGCGAAAGTTAGAAATCGGAAAATGAATACGCAGATGATTGATACAGACCTTGATATCAAATGCAACACATAGAGTAACTTCTCGACAAATTTGGCCGAAGAGGACTAACTCATTTCGGACAAGCCCACATCGAAAGCAAGATAGCAAGAAGCCCAGGCTCCTCAGCCGATCCCCCACGGACGAAACAAAACTGCGGGACAAAGCGTTATCTGGCAGAGTCGGTTCAAGGTGACGGCCATCCTAGCTGGGCATGAAGTCGCATCAGGGACTTGGCTCTTCATTCTTAAAGGCGCTGTCGCAGAGTTAGACTCGCGCCCCTCGCTAGGCTGTTTTGGATGGAGGCGTGATTTCGTCCTGTGAATGGGATCGCCTCAAAAAATTTACGCCAAGAATTGAGGCCTCCTAGCGGTGTGTGTCGCATTGCAGCTGGTAGTCTATAGTTGCAGTGGCTGTATATTGTTATAGTTGGTAGGTGTAGATGAAATGAAGCCTGTGTAAAGAGAAAATGGCCGCTGTAGGCGAGAGATGGTATGCTCGATGGACTTGATTCACACCCCCGTGGGCCGGCTTGTATCTTGCACGGTATGAACAAATATCAGCTCCGAGGAGCCATTTTTGCCCAAGGCCCATAGCAGAAACAGCGGTGCGGCACTGATGGCATATACTACTGCATTTCTTGTCCCGGAGCTGCGTCTGTGCAGTTGTGGCCTTCACAAGAGCCTCACATGGTCGGTTTGTAACTAAACGCTAAACGCTACACGCCACACAGGCCCACAAGTGATAGCCTCGTGGCTCCTTAATGCCGGTTGGCAAATCGGCACGACCCAAGGCCAACAGTAATGTCAAGTCATTTGCGGATAGCTGGCTACATCATTCGAGAAGCCCAACGGTCCTGCGGCTCTACAGCGAGAATTTCTCTTAAATCAGAGTTCATCACAGGGTTTTCAAGGACTCATGGCCCATGCGTGGTTAGTTGAATACGTGGTGGAAGAAGTCACCGACCTGTGATAGACTACCAAGGGTACTGCCGCTGTACAGCAGCTTTAAATTACGACTAGACAAATACTGCGCCCAGTGCCCCGGTGCATCACCACAGACTCTCTTTGGTCCGAGCTTAACGGTCGATTGTTAGTTATACAATGGCACGTAGTCACAAACGTGTGAGCCGCCCAACATCTGTCTCGCCCCGAGTATCAAGCGCCAAGTTACATTTGTACAAGCGGAGATGCGTTATTCATTATCTAATCGCATAAAAGTCCCACGTCTGGCAGCTCGTTTGCCGGCTCCGGACTTGAACTAGTAATAATAATCTTGTACGTTCGCATGAGAGCTATCCACACCAAGACATTCAATAGCCCTAGATTAGATTAGATTTTTATTATAGTCCCTACTGAGTCTAAGACTATGGGGGACTTTGTGAATCTAACTGAAGATTCTAATTACATTTGAGAAATTTAATTTTGAAATATGCCAAAATTTGTTCTTGTATATATTGAGGGACAAGCCCTTTTTCAAAAGCCCTAATTCTTGCCGTATGGAAATGTCCCCACTGCAAATTTACGAGGCCCTTTTTCCGCCTCAGCAGTCACGAGTGGCCAACTCATGCTCTCTCTCACAGAACGTGCCCATGGCTCTGGCTCGTCGTAGACCACCTCAGCATGTGGGCCATTCTGGCAACCCACTCTTGCTGCCAGTGCAGTTTTTGGCGGCAAAGTCATAGCTGGATAAGTGTGAGGCAAGGCTGACTCTGACTAGAGCGCTTACCTGTTGGAGAACTCGCGCCATGAAATGGTTGCAATATTTCCGGAATGAAAGAAGTTGCCCTGGTGGGATCATGTTCATATAACTTTAAGATGGGTGGGAGTTGTCCGCCGGAAGTAGAAATGTAAGCGACATAATGCCCAAGCCACAGCAAAACGAGTGCGGCGCCATCTATTGTTATTAAGTCATTTTATTGTCTATTCTGATTTTATGACCATGTAGGACGTGCCGGTTCTCTCTGCCTACAGGCCAAAGATACCTATACAAGTAGTATATCCCCTCCTATGCCTCCCATACAACTCCCCCCAAACAGTACCACCCCTCACGAGTCCTCATTCGATCATACGCAAAGAGGAGCCCTTTTCCTTTCATAATCTCCCCTCTCCAGCCAACGAAACGATGGCCATTCGCGGGTGTATGGCAGCCGGGAAGAATCGCAAAAACCACTAGGCGCGGAGCTCTTCTAATACCGTCATCAGGACTAAATCCGAAGACATAGTGACCCTTTTGAAGCGTCCTAGGAGGCCGGTGTGGCGCCATCTACCCTGTGGCCACGGTTTCAAGTTTGTAGTGGAGCGCATACTCGCTTCAGGGGACAGATTCCTTTTAGCGCCTAATTCGGCAGGGTACATAACTCTTGTCCTGTATTTCAAGGCCTAAACTAAGGGTACAATCTGATTTCATGTCACCCTCAGTTGTATGCAAATCAAACCTGTTCTCTAGTTCATTGCCATCACTTTTATGACTGCCGGCCGCTAAAAAATTACACAGCTCTTCTCATCTTGTGCTTGAGTGACAATAAGAATTAGATTTCTCATATACAAAGTTGTTTATTTATATTGGAAATATCGCATAATGAAATGGGCGCAATATTCATGGAACGAAAGTAGAAGTTGACTAAAAGAGTGTCATGTTCGGATTAAAGCTAAAAGTATGGGACATGTGCGCTACAAGTACAAGTGTAAGCGATATAGGGCCTAAGCCACAGCATAAACAAATGTGGCGCCATCTAGGCATAGAAAATGCCCAGTAACCTCCTTTTACCCATGCCATACATCCGCCCAAGTATCCAATAGGTAGCCTGAAGCGCTACCATATAACCTATTCCAACCTCTTACATATACACAAGATCGTGTCGGGAACCTAGACGAGATGGAGGGCCCGTACGTCCACAACACTCCGTGTCTCCATTTCCAACAATTCAGCAGACACATGGCTTCACTCGATACTAACCTTATTTTTCAGATGATTCCACCCCAAACCCCACTTTGAACACCTCGATTCAAACAATTAGCCAGAGATCGAAACATTTTAGTAAATTGAAAAGTTAGTTATCAACGAATCGAAATTAAAGAAATTTTCAGATCTATGGGCTTTGTGAATCTAGCAAAAACTAGACGCAGATTGCCGTGCAACTAGGCATTTCTCGGGGACAAGTTAGTTTTTCGCTGCACCGCGGAACCGTCTCCCCCCAAAATAGAAAGAGAACATCTTCAAGACTGAAAGTAGATGATATTGATCAGATTATATCTTACGTTGAGTCTTCACCTACAAACCGCCGCAAAACATTTCTAGAACTCGCCTCTGGCCCCTTTAGACATCTTGGTGTTAGCGAGCGAGTAGTACAAAGAGAACTTAGAAAAAGAGGATAGCAACGACTTGTGGCTCGTCTGAAGCCTCCAGTATCTAAAAAACTATGAAGGCACGCAGAGAATGGACCGAAGCTCATCTCAATTGGACATATGAAGACTGGACGTCAGTTTTATGGACAGACGAAACCTGTGTAGAGGATGGAAGACATTCTAGAGAATGAGTGACAAGAAGTGTTCGTATATTCCTCTTCAAGAAGGTAGTAATTTTATTCTCTAACATTATGAGCTAGACTTCCCAAGAACACAACGCTGATTGTGTTGGAGAAAAATCGAAGAGGCTGGTTGTTCTGGGGTTGCTTCGCAGGGCCAGAAAAAGGCTCTTGTTTGTTTTGGGAGAAGGAATGGGGTTCCATTAACTCCCAAAAATATTGCGAGAAGATAGTTCCTCTTATCGATAGCATGGTCTCGATGAGACCTTGGCTTTCCGTAATGCAGGATAATGCTCCTGCCCACACAGCCGCAATTACAATGGAAGATATGAGCCAGAGGCTCATTCAACCGATTTACTGGCCGGCCAACTTGCCTGATCTTAACCCGATTGAAGCTGTTTGAAATAAGATGAAGGATTACATCCAGCGTCATCATCCGAATCTGGGTTGCGGAAAGCAGCGAACTCAAGATAGTCTTCGCAAGATTGTAAAGGAGGCATGGGATTCCGTGTCTTCCGAAGATCTTGTGAGACTCATTCAGAGTATGCCAGCAAGATGTCAGGCTGTGGTAGATGCGGATGGGGGACCGACCAGATATTAAGGCCTGAAAATATTCCAGCCACATGTTCAGATCTAAGGTTAGGATAAGACTGGCTCTATTTTGTAATTTGAAAACCTTTGAACTCTTGAAAATAAGTTATAAAATCAAGTTGTAAGCAGACTTATGCAAGCATAAGTCTGGATCCAGTCCAAAAGCGATACGCGATCTGCGTTCAGGCATGTCAGACTAGTAATGATGATCAGGGGCGTCAATAGGGTAGAACTAGATATTATAGTGCTACGATGGACTCGTAGCATGGAGACAATTAATCAATTCATTCTTGTATTCGCTTTCATCTTTAACGATTTACGTGACATTCACACGAAGACCTCTCTAAGTTTTACACAATTAGTAAAAATGCACAAATGTTATGCAGCGGATCATTATACAAATTAGGTTTAGTACGAAGGAAAGACCCACTGCAAACTATGGTGTCCAGAAAACATTGCCATACAAATTTTTTCGAAAATTTGCACAAATACGGGGGCTAAGCCTAATGTGGAAGGTGACTATGCCTAAGGAGTTTTAAATTGCACGCTAAAACCCCTGCCAAAGCCCGACTGCAAACTTGACACCGCGACAGTACGGTAGGCATAGAAAACCTCCAATAAACTACATGTGCAGACGCCGTACTGCTACTCTTGTATCCATTGGATAGCCTGAAGCGTTACTATATTACTCATTTCAGCCCCTGCATCACATTCGAGATGGAGCCGATGACCTAGATTTAATGGAGGGCCCATACGTCCGCAACACTGTGTCTCCCATTCCAACATCACGTGAAACAAC